AGAGGCAACAGTGTACTGAAGGCTATAGGAGGATGGAGCTTGGTGTAATAATGAGGTATTCAAAGAAGGCCCTTATAGTTGGAGCCTAGTGAGGGACAGATGCCAGGTGTGAGTTTGGAGAGTCTGGCAGGGTCTAGGCCAGGAAGAACCTTCTAGGGGTTATAAAAATGACTTGGTAGAGGTGCTTGGGTGGCTCAGTTGGTTAAGCATCCAATTCTTGATTTTAGCTCTGGTCATGATCTTGAGGTCCTGGGATGGAGCTACATCATTGGGATCCACGTTCAGTGGGGAGTCTGCTTGAGGATTCTCTCCCTCTTCCTCTGCCCCTCCTCCCACTTGGCACACGTGCTTTTTCTCCCTCTCTAAAATAAATAAATAAATCTTTAAAAAATGACTTGTGGAAAAAAAATGACTTGTGGGTTATGAGCAGCATTTAAAAAAATTTTTTTTGGTTTTGTTTTGTTTCTTAAAGAAAATAACAGAAGAGAAAAAACTTTTTTTCTTTAAAGATTTTATTTATTTATTTGACACACAGAGAGACAGCGAGAGAGGGAACACAAGCAGGGGGAGTGGGAGAGGGAGAAGCAAGCTTCCTGCTGAGCAGGGAGCCTGATGCGGGGTTTGATCCCGGGACCCTGAGACCATGAACTGAGCTGAAGGCAGTTGTTTAACCAACTGAGCCACCCATGTGCCCCATGAGAAGTTTTTTTTTTTTTTTAAGATTTTATTTATTTGGGGCGCCTGGGTGGCTCAGTCGTTAAGCGTCTGCCTTCGGCTCAGGTCGTGATCCCAGGGTCCTGGGATCAGGCCCCGCATCGGGCTCCCCGCTTGGCGGGAAGCCTGTCTCTCCCTCTCCCACTCCCCCTGCTTGTGTTCCTGCTCTCACTCTTCTCTCTCTCTCTGTCAAATAAATAAATAAAATCTTAAAAAAATTAAAAAAGAAAATATTTAAAAAAAATAAAAAAAAAGATTTTATTTATTTATTTGACAGAGAGAGACACAGCGAGAGAGGGAACACAAGCATGGGGAGTGGGAGAGGGAGAAGCAGGCTTCCTGCGGAGCAGGGAGCCCGATGCGGGGCTCGATCCCAGGACCCTGGGATCACGACCTGAGCCGAAGGCAGACGCTTAACAACTGAGCCACCCAGGTGCCCCCAGAAGAGAAAATTTAAAAAAAAAATCAAAATGCATCCCATGTAGCAAAGATAATTTCATGACCTATTTGTTTTATGTTTGTGTATTTGATCATAATATAATCTGTATTTCTTATCTTTGAATTTTGTCCCCAAAGCATTTGCAAGCTAATGAAGAATCTTAAGTAGGACATTTGAAACAATGCAATTTACATATTTAATATATCATTCTTGACTGCCAGATGGAGATTAGAAGAAAGGGTCTCAAGACATGATTGAGTAGGTTATTGTTCAAACAAGAGGTGCTTTGGCTTTCTCGGAGTGTTGATAGTGGCACTGGGGATAAGAAACAGATTCAAGAGCAATTTAGTAGATCAGTTCAGCAGGAGTTGAGGGGGGCAAGAATGAAAGAGGTCTCCCCAAATGACTTCTGCTTTTCAGACTCCATTTTGTCATCCTAAGCCATTACCTCTTTTTCAGTTTTCTCATTTTTTCTTCCATTAATTTAATGACAACAAAAATAACAGTTTAATCATGTTATTATAACTTGGAGAGCAGTTGAGTCTAAACTGGATTTATTTGATCCTTACAGTGTTCCCTTAATCACCATATTCCAGTTGGTTTCTTTCCTAGTGTTTTGTAAACCATATTGTGCTTCTCTTTCAAAAACAAAGTACAAGCGAGATATCTCATCCCAGTAAATTTTGCTGACAGGAGTTGATGTTAAACTGAGCTGCCTGGGGGTTTCTTGTTGTTTATAATTTTTTTGTTTATAATTTCTTTCTGCTTTTCAGCAAAAGCATGTTTTCCTTGGATTTCTGACTCATTTCTTTTTTAAAAAAATTTTTAGAGTGGGGAAGGGCAAAGAGAAGGTGAGAGAGAGAATCTTAAACAGTGTCCACGCCCAGCACAGAGCCCGATGGGGGGCTCAGTCTCACAACCCTGAGATCATGACCTGAGCTGAAATCAAGAGTCAGATGTTTAACCGACTACACCACCCAGGAGTCCCTCTGATTCATTTCTAAAGACTGTTTAAACTTGATTTTGCTGATTTATGTTGATTTTCTTTCTTAATATCATCCTCTGTTACATTCTACAGCCTATGTGCAGTGTTGTCAGAGACTGTGCATCATGCTCCAGTCATATTGGATAGTGTTCTTCTACATTTAAAGGTTATAGCTATTCATCTTTGTTCAGAATAACTTAAAACTTTCTTTACTGTGTAAACTTGTCACTCTTTCTAGAATATTTTAGAGATGCTTTTCTGGGAAATACAACATTTGACCTTGAGTGGAATGTACTGGGAAGGAAGACCTGAAAAAATGTATAAAGGGAAGAAAATATTGTGTATGCTTTCTGTGTTCTGGGGAATATAAACAGGCATATTTTTTCTACACTTGTAAAGCTTGAGGAGTAGGAAGACCAACATAAACAAATGAAATATAATTCTAGAATTGGAAAAATTGAAACAAGAATGAGGAATAAGGTACAAGTATAGAGATTAAGATAAAGCACAGACTCAATTAGAGTTTTCCAGGATAGTCTTTCTGAGCAGCTGCCATTTAAGTTAGGACATTTCAGACAAAAGGAATTGGCCAGGCAGAGAGCATTTCTGGCAGATGGAACAGCATGTGAGAGTCTGAAATGGGAAGGAATTTTATATGTTCCAGGAACTTAAATAAAGCCAGTAAGGTTAGAGCATTGTTTCTGAAGATAGGAATGGTTCAAAATGAGGTCAGAAAGGTAATCAAGGAATGGATCATGCAGGGGCTTTTAGTCCGTGAACAGGAATTTGGATTTTATTTGAAATAGAAGGGGTAAACCATTGAAAGGTTTTAAGCTGTATTTTCAAACCTCTTTCTATACCAGAAGCACCTGGGGAGATTGATAAATGAAGGAAAATTTGCAGTTTTAAAGTTGCTGACAAATATTGAGCGTCAATATGCAGGTAATGGTTCTAGGCAGTAAAAATAAAGCAGAGAATGAAGCAAAGTCATTGCTTTGATTAAGCATGGGGGGACAGACAAGGAACTTTAAAAATAGTATATCCATTAGTAATAAATGTAATATAGGTGCAATTCTATATTGGATGTTTTGATAATGTGACATTTGAGCAGAAAACTGAAGTGAGAGAGCAGATATCTGGGGAAAGAGCATCCCAAAAGGTAAACACAGAGGCACATGCTTGGCATTTTTGAACAGCAAGGAAGCCATTGTGGTGAGAACAGAATGAATAATTAGGAGTGGTAAGAGATGACATCAGAGAAGGGCAAACTCATGTGAGTAAGGTCTTGTGGGCCATAATAAGTAAGGACTTTGGGTATTATTCTGAGATGGTAAACTCTTAGAAGATTTTTGCAGGGGAGTAATGTGATATGAATTACTTTTTTTTAAAGATTTTATTTATTTGTTTGACAGAAAGAGACAGCTAGAGAGGGAACACAAGCAGGGGGAGTGCAAGAGGGAGAAGCAGGCTTCCCACTGAGCAGGGAGCCCAACGTGGGGTTGGGATCATGACCTGAGCCGAAGGCAGACACTTAACGACTGAGCCCCCCAGGTGCCCCTGAATTACAGTTTAATTTTTTTATTTTTTTTAAAGATTTTTTTTTTTAATTTATTCATTTGACAGAGAGAGAGATAGCGAGAGCAGGAACACTAGCAGGGGCAGTGGGAGAGGAAGAAGGGCTCCCACTGAGCAGGAAGCCCGATGCGGGGCTCGATCCCAGGACCCTGAGACCATGACCTGAGCTGAAGGCAGACGCTTAACGACTGAGCCACCCAGGTGCCCCTGAATTACAGTTTTAAAGAATTCTTCTGGCTTCTATGTGAAGAACAAAGAGTAGGGGCCAAGTTCAAGGAACAGAGACCAGTCAAGAGGCTATTACAGTGAGAGACAGGTGGTTTGGCCTAGGGCAATAGTAGTGGTTATGGTCAGATACTTGATAAACTTTAATGGGAGAAGTAATAGGACTTGTTGATAGATTGGATATCTACCCAGACATTTGATCGAATGTTTCCAGGGGATGGTTTTTGCTGTTATTTTGTAAGCTTCCTTGGTTGGATTCTAATCCACTCCAAAGTTTTAAGAACCACACACTTAAACTGTTTCTCTGATTTCTTTCCTCCCTATAAACTCCCCTTATTCTATGTTTTCTCCTTGTGCCTTTTATTTTAATTGCACAAAATATTTCAGCACTGTTTAAACCATTCCGTTCTTATAAGAATTTTTACTTTTTCTACGATTTTTACTTTAGAAGTTTCATTTCTCCTTGTAAACAGAAGCAGCAGGAATTTGCTTTCTTGTTATCTTCCAGACTTGAAATCCAGTTGTGAGACCAAAAAGTCATCTCCAGAAAAGGGAGCTTATGAAATGGAATCACTGCAATGGGAGAGTATGAGTCAACCTATCAGTCATAACCTTGATTACAATGGTCTTAGAGATACGATGGAGGGCAAAGGAAAGTTTGAGGGTCAACAGAAAAGTCAGGAAGGACTTTACATGCACATGAAAATTACCTGTGGCGAAAAGGCCACTCAAAGCCATTCTATGTCACCTATTCTTCATCAGATAAATCCTACCAAGGAAAAATTGTACAAACGTAAGGAATGTGAACAAGCTTTCAACTACCTGTCATACCTTACTCAACATGAGAAAAGCCATAATAAAGAAAAACACTCTGAAGTTAAGAAACATAGGAAGACCTTCAGCAAAAAGCCAGCCTATATTCAACATCAGAGGATTCAGAATGGTGAAAAGCCTTATGAGTGTATGGAATGTGGGAAGGCTTTTGGCCGTAGTTCTGATCTGATTCAACATCAGAAAATTCATACTAATGAAAAACCTTACCAGTGTAAGGCATGTGGGAAGGCTTTTATTCGCAGTTCACAGCTCACTGAACATCAGAGAGTTCATACAGGAGAGAAACCATATGAATGTAAGAAATGTGGAAAAGCCTTTAGTTATTGTTCACAGTATACTCTCCATCAGAGAATTCATAGTGGTGAAAAACCCTATGAATGTAAGGAATGTGGGAAGTCCTTTATCCTTGGCTCTCAACTCACTTACCATCAGAGAATTCATAGTGGTGAGAAACCCTATGAGTGTAAGGAATGTGGAAAGGCCTTTATTCTTGGTTCACACCTTACTTATCATCAAAGAGTTCATACTGGTGAAAAGCCTTACAGATGTAAAGAATGTGGGAAGGCCTTTTTATGTGCCTCCCAACTTAACGAACATCAGAGAATCCATACAGGTGAGAAACCCTATGAATGTAAAGAATGTGGGAAGGCCTTTTTCCGTGGCTCACAACTAACTTACCATCTGAGAGTTCATACAGGCGAGAGACCCTATAAATGCAAAGACTGTGGGAAAGCCTTTATTTCTAATTCTAATCTTACTCAACATCAGAGAATTCATACAGGTGAAAAACCCTATAAATGTAGAGAATGTGAGAAGGCCTTTATTTGTGGCAAACAACTTAGTGAACATCAGAGAATTCATACAGGTGAGAAACCCTTTGAATGTAAGGAGTGTGGAAAGGCTTTTATTCGTGGTGCATATCTTACTCAACATGAGAAAATTCATGGTGAGAAGCATTATGAATGTAAGGAATGTGGGAAGACCTTTTATCGTGCCACACAACTTACATATCACCAGAGAATTCATACAGGTGAGAAACCCTACAAATGTAAGGAATGTGACAAGGCTTTTATTTATGGCTCACAACTTAGTGAACACCAGAGAATTCATAGAGGTGAAAAACCCTATGAATGTAAGCAATGTGGGAAGGCCTTTATTCGTTGCTCACATCTTACTGAACATCTAAGAACTCATTCCGGTGAGAAACCCTATGAATGTAAGGAATGTGGGAAGGCCTTTAGTCGTGGCTCAGAACTTACTCTACATCAAAGGATCCATACTGGTGAGAAACCTTATGTGTGTGTTCAATGTGGTAAAGACTTTAGACGTCATTCACAACTTGCTCAACATATGAGGCTTCATAATTGAAAAAGCTTTGAATATGATTTAATATAAGAAAGGCTTTAATGTCTTCAACACCTCTGGAATGCTAGAGAACCCATATTATGTTCGTAATGAATTTAGGACATCCTTCTGTTTGTGCTCAAAATCAACTGATTTTTAGAAAGCCTGTATTAATGACTGCAGAAATAACTTCTGGAATCCATTATACATTTTTAAGAATCTCTATAACCTTGGAATGGAATGCTGGAGTATATCCTTTATTGAGCACCATCTCTATTTCACCATTTCCTGTGAAATTGGAGAAGTTACTTAACCTCTTTGTGCCTCAGTTTCTTTGTGTAAAATAATGTAATGATATCACATTGATTAAATTATAAATGATTATGCAACTCCCTTTGGACAGTATCTGATACTCAGTTATCTTATTATTTCTACTATCATCATTATTATATGCTATTAGAGAAGTCAAATGGTAAGAATATTTTTGAGTACAGTAAGATGTAAGCATTTTATTACCATCTATTCCCTTTTTGGTTTTTGTTTTAGATTTTATTTATTTGAGAGAGAGAGCACATGCGCACAAGTGAGTGCAGGGTGTAGCTGAATGGGGAGCCCGATGGGCTCAATCCCAAGACCCCAGGATCATGACCTGAGCCAAAGGCAGATGCCTAACCAACTGAGCCACCTAGGTGCCCCCCTTTTTGTTTTGTTTTTGCCATCTATCCCTTTTTGAACACCAGATAATTTATTCTATGACAGAAGCTTTAGAATATAATAAGGGCAGGAAGCTCTCCATTTTAGAGCTCATAAATTTTGCTGCACCAGATAATTCATACTGCAAACAAGTTATAGAAGAAATTCCTTTAGAGTTATAGAGCTTTTTTATAAAATCAAGGAGAGGTGATTTTTCTAAAGCAAATTCCAAAAGCAGAAGTTATTATTCCACATTTTCTAATTACTACTTTAAGAGAAAAATAATATATCAACAATATGATACCAAATAGCTCCATTAAAAGAAAAAAAAACTACTAAAAGAAGAAAAACTATGGGGGTGCCTGGGTGGCTCAGTGGTTAAGTGTCTGTCTTCAGCTCAGGTCATGGTCCCAGGGTCCTGGGATCGAGCCCGGCATCGGGCTCCCTACTCGGCGGGAAGCCTGCTTCTCCCTCTCCCACTCCCCCTGCTTGTGTTCCCTCTCTCGCTGTGTCTCTCTCTGTTAGATAAATAAAATCTTTAAAAAAAAAAAAAGAAAAACTATGTAAAATAATTACCATCTTAAATGAGAAATCAAAATTTGCCAACTACAGTTTTTTCTCGTTATCTGTATCTAATCCATTCCTGATAATATGTTGAATAGTACATTTTCAGATGCCCAAATCTCAGTCTACATTGCATTATTTTAAATGGGAAAAATGATAATATGTTTCCAGCCCATTCAAATGTCTTGATTAGGTTTAAATTCAACTTAAACCACCTACTTGATTTCTCTCAGAGATTTCAGAATAATATAAAACATTTAAAACCCAGTAAACAAGTAAATAATTAGCAGATGATTGTGCATGCAATGATTTTATTTTTTTAAAAGATTTTATTTATTAGAGAGAGAGAGAGAGCACATGGGCAGCGGGAGGGGGAGAGGGAGAGGGAGAAGCAGAAGCAGACTCCTTGCTGAGCAGGGAGCCCGACATGGGGCTCAATCCCAGGACCTGAGATCATGATCTGAGCCAAAGGCAGATGCCTCACCCACTGATCAACCCAGGCGTCCCTGCTTGCAGTGATTTTAAACACAAAGTATGGATTATGTTTTCCTTCTACGCTTCAAGAAACAGATACTATGATATAAATAATGAAATGCATTAGTACATAATAGACACAAATAACAATTAAGAAAATAAAATAATAATAATAAAAGTAAAATAAAAACCACTGATAGAACAATTGAAACAGAAGTTCCCAAAACAATACTTACCTTTTCTACATGTGATGCACCTTGCTGTTTTCTATTACAGTGTCTGTAATAAACACTACAGCCTTACCTGTTGTCTTCACAACTTAATACTGTTCATTATCCCCACTCTGAAAAACACTGGTTTTACATTTATATTACAAAATTATAATCCCGGGGCCCCTCAGTGGCTCAGTCGGATCTGACTCTTGATTTTGGCTCAGGTCATGATCTTGAAGTGGTGAGATTGAGCCCTGCATAGGCCTCTGTGCTGAGCATGGAGCCTGCTTGGGATTCTCTCTCTGTCTCTCCCTCTGCCCCTCCCTGCCTTCCCCCCCCCCCTCAGTATGCCCCATGCACACATGCGCTCTCTCTCAAATTATAATCCAATGCTAATTTGCCATTTTTAAAAGTGAAAAAAAAAAAGATGATTGAGAACCATTAGAACTTCCCTGAATCATTAGAGCAAGCACTGTGATGCTAATGCAGTCATGCATTCCCTGCTCAGATTGGACAAACTATGGCATCATTACCACACTGAATTTAAAGAAAATGTAAATAATGAAATGTAAGTAAAATGTTATTTGCTACATTGATCTTTAGTCATTTATATACATCTGGCATGTAACATATTTGCATATTGGCAGAAAATACCCAGAACCAAAATCTCCCAAAATATGTTCAAAACATAATAATCTCCAAATACCACTGGAGAAGAGGGGCCTGTCTCATTGTATACTGCAGTGTATAACCAAATTCCCTTGCTGGCCAATGAATTCCACTTTGAACAAGCCAAATTAAAAGGTTGTGAGAAGACCTACAATAAAGAAAATATTACCATTGTTTAACCCATTGTTTACCAGTCCTAACCATGAATCCTTTCTCTTCCGCAATACTTACTATCTTTGGATTATGAACACACTTTGAGAAATCCATTGCTGACCAAAAGGAATAATTATAAGAGGAAATTTAAGGCATTATGGCAGTTAATTAAATTTGGCGGGTGCTGTAGTACTTTTCTGTTCTACAATTAGTACACTATACAGGAAAAGTTCCTCTAGCTCAAGTTTTCACAACCCTTTCCCTAGTCTCTTGACCTAGATTGATTTAGTTAGATTTTTATTCTTTATGCTATTGTTATGAGATTGTTTAATGTGAAACTTGAATGAATATTAATTATCTCAGTACTTTATATTTATTTCATAAATTGTTTGAAACTTAGAATTTCCCTATTGAGGTAATGGTGAGGGGATAGGAATGTACACTAATCAAAGAGTTAATAAAGACAAACAGAAGTGGCTGCTATGCTGATTTAGTTGCTACTTTAAGATATATTGATACCATCACACCCATTCAAAATTAAGCTTTATTTCCCCTACATGCGTATAATTCTTTTCAAAGGTCATTACATTCCTCTTATATAGTTACATAACAAAGTTTAACCCATGCCAAAGAAATAGTGCAAATTAAAAAGAATCATGTTCACTACCTCCCGCCCATCTACTGTCAAAACTTTGGTTTTTATCTTGTGACGTTTCCCTCTGTTCTCAAATATGGTCCACCTTTGAGTCTAAAAAAAAATAATGTTTTAATGGAATAACTGTCCACTGTAACTTGTTTTAACTTTTTATTGTAGAACATTTCAAGCATATAACAAAAATAGGATAATAAAATGAACAGCCATATACCTGTCACATAATTTTTATTTTTTAATTTTAAATCTAATATAGATAACATACAGTATTACATATTTTTAATAATCACTCCTATTTTACCTTTCTTGTTAATCTTCCAAATATTTTTGGCTGGGATATTTTAAAGCCAAACCAGTATATTTTAGCATTTCCCCTCTACATATTTCAGTATGTATCTTGAACAGATAATTAATGATTATAGTTGGTTTATTTGAATCAGGATTTAAAAGACACCTGCTCATGGCATTTTGTTGGTATGTCTCATACACTTGCTTTTCTGACTTTTTAAAAAATGCCTACAGAACAAAACATGAACATAGTACCAGCAATGCCATGATAATATCCTCCCTATCCCCCCAAACTGAGTATTCAGGTTATTTCTCTGTTGCTGCAAACCACTGCAATAAATGTCCTTATATGCTTATTCTTGCACATTTGTGTTTTTATTTCTACAGAATATATTCTTACAGATTAGACTAAGTCAAATTATGTGTACATTTTAAATTTTAATAGATTGGGCCAGATTTTGAAACACTCAGTTTACATTCTCATAATTAATGTATGAGAGTGTTCATTCCCCATACTATCACCAGGAGCAAAAAATAAGGACTTCCTTTGGAGCCATGATGGAATAAAAAGTTTAAACAAGGACTGTTATCCCCAACAAAAGAAATACAAATGAAGTGAGCACTGTGAGCACACCAACTTTCTACCTGAAGACACGTTCTAAATAATGAGAAAAGTTATCCCAAACAGAGCATGTTGTTCTGATTGTGTTGAGAAGATGGAGATCAAAGAGATTGATGTGTCTGGAAGTTGCAGAGCAGTTCCAGAGAAAAGGAAGCTGTGCAGAGAATTTCAGAAATGTGTGAAAGGTCCTCTTCAGTCTTTCCTAATATTAAATAGTACATGTGTAGGGTGTGATTCTACGAGACTGGGCAAAGTGTAATCAGGGAGCTGCAAGTTGTAAAATGCCCAGAGCTGACACAGGGCAGAGATACTCTAATTTGGACCCAGATGATCACCCATACCATTTGGTAGATAGCCCAGAAGAGTCACATGATAAGAGTAGAGGTCAACTATCTCTAAAGCACTTTAGACCTGTCCTAAACTGCTTTTTTAAAGTTTCAAAAGAATCAAGCAAGTAACCTAGCTGCCTATAGAGCAAAGCTCAACACTCTAAAAGAAATGTAACAATAGCCACCATTCAAAAATGTAAATTTCACAATGTCCAGTATCTATATAAAGAAAGAAAAAAAAAGTAACACAAAACCAGAAAAAAAAATCAATCAGTTGGCCAACTGAAATGGTAGGAGAAATG